GTAGAGGGAGGTGGAGAGGGGTGTGCAAAGGGGTGGGTGGGGTGGTGGTGGGTTTGGGTTGTTTGGTTTTGGTGGTGGGTTTGGTGGGTTTGGTCCGTTCCATGACCGTGGTGTGGTCGCCTCCCGTGGTTGGGACTCGGGTTGGGGATGGGGCTGGGGGATGCGTGAGGTGGTCGTGGCTGGAGCGGATGCGCGCCCGCGGGCTGACGGAGGTCATGTTCCCCGTGTATGACCCCGGGATGGGGTACCAGTCCCCGCGCACGCTGGCCGAGTGGACGGAGCGGCGGCGCGTGGAGGAGAGCAGGGAGCGGGAGGCCGGGCGGGTGTGGGAGGAGTTGATGGGCGAGGGGCGGCGCGCGGTTGAGCGGGAGGCGGATGCGTGGGTAGATGAGGCGAGGAAGGAGATGAAGAGGGAGGTGGATGCGTGGCGGGATGCAGCGCAGGAGACGGGGTCGTCGTTTTTTGACGGGATTGGGGGGGCTGTGAGGACGCTGGGGAAGGTGTTGGAGGACGAGGTCAAGTCGTTGCGCCGGTCTGGAGGGGAAGAAGATAGGAAGAGTCAAGATAGGGGCGCGGTTCAGAAGGACGATGCACCACAGACAGAAAGTGACCTCTACTCGGTCATCCAGTCCGCCTTCCACGAGTCGGAACGGTCACTCTCGAACTTCTTCAAGCTCATCTCGGAGGGCGGGCGTGGCCAAAGCCTTCCAGAACCCAAGCCGGTCTCACCGCCGAAGGTGAAAACCACCGAGGCCGTAGAAGACGGCATCACAAAAAAGACCACTACGGAGGAGTTTGTTGACCAGTACGGCAACACACACTCCAAGACCGAGACTACCTGGACCGACGAGAATGGCTCCGTTATCATGAAACAGGTGCACAGCTCCATGGGCCGCTCTGAGCACTGGGAAAAGACAACTCAGGGGGCTTCTACAGAGCCGGACAAGACGGCTGCCGAGCGGCCGAAGGAGCAGCAGCAGCAGCAGCACAGGGAGAGCGGATGGTTCTGGAAGTGAATACCACGAGCCACAGTCCAGAATAGGAAGGCTGACGGATCAGGAATCTGGGAATACCCCACTCAATTGCGGAGGCAGAGGTTGTCTCCATCATCTCTCCATCATCTCCGCTCAATTGCAGCTCAATTCCGCAAGATTGACTCATTATGGGCTTTTTTTCTATCTTGTTTTGTTTGTTTCTTGTAACCGAACAAGCATCCTTGGAGAATATGTATGTATCAGATGCTCAGCATGACCCAACAAACCTGCTCTGCTTATTCCACTCGTTCTAGCCCGGCTCCGTGGAAGTGAATGAGTCGATTTTAGTGAGCATAAAGTGTCAGTGACGTGTATGTGGGTCGGATGGCAACGGCACCACAGGAAGATGCATGTCGCATTCGGACTTCGCTGTTCTTCTTTCGGCCTTTGGACGATCTACACGTTGATCGTCAGGGAGCGAAGCTTGGTCAACGGCACGTGAGCAGGTTAGTTTAACACAGTCAGCACCAAGGACCTAGGTCCCGCTAGTCAAGCAAATCTACAAATTTCAACAACGCTACACGCTACAAGGTACTTCGCGAATGTGTACTCCTATCCGCGCGAGACAAGGGTCGAGTCCCCTATTACTTTACTTGCCGCTCCGCATCGTCGCCTTCTTCTTCCGCATCATCCGCTTCCGTACAATGATCTTTGTCCTCATGGCGAGCTTCTCGTCCGCCTTCGTCTTGCCCTCCTTGGTAGGTGGTACCTCGGTCTTTGCCGTCGCTCCCTTATTCCCGACCTTATCAAACTTCCCGTCCCTCCCAAACTTGCCTTCCCGCCCGGGTTTTCCGCCCCTGCCGAACTTCCCATCTTTCCCGTCCCGCCCTTTATTCCACGGCTTCCCCTTTCCCCAATCACCACCCCTCTCCCTCCCACCACCATCACCATCACCACCACCACCGGCACTGGCACTGGCGCCAGCATTCCTCTCCTCCCTCGGCAGTCGACTCTTCTCCTCCTGCTGCCGCCTCCTCTGTACGACGTTCGCATTCTCAATAGCGAACTCCACAATCAGCCGCTGCGTCTTGCCGGCCTCGTTCTTCATGGGGTGTCCGTTCAGGTAGCGCAGGCCCATGAGGGCCCAGCGATGGGACGAGTACTCGATGAAACCGTAGCCCCTGGACTTGCCGCCACCCGTCTTCTCGTCGATCTTGGAGCCCTGCGCCGTCTCAAACACGATCTTGGCCTGCCGCACCACGCCCTTGCCCTTCTCCTTCCGGCGGCGCTCCGCCTCGCGGTCCTCGTCGCCGCCGCGCGAGTTCTCCTCCTTGGATATGGGCAGCCGGCGGCCCTCCTTGACGTCCTTGGCAAACCCGACGACGGCCTCGCGCGCGAGGGCCTTGAGGCCCTTGGAGTCGAGGTTGTGCGGTAGGTTGCGGATCGCCATACGCGTTAGGCTGAGGTGCAGGCTGGGGTTGGACTCGATCATCTTCTTGCGCTGCTTGGCGCTGGCCTCGCGCATTTTGATCTCGGCGGGCGTAAATTGGTTGAAGAGGGGTGAGTTGGGTGAAATAGAGCCCTCGGAGAGTAGGAAGAGGCGCCGCTTGTCCTTCTCCTTGCGCTTGCCTGCGCCTTCGTCGGCGAGGCGGGTCGCCTCGTCCTTGGAGACGGCATGGGCAACTTGTAGAATGCGGCCGTCGAGTGTGTACTTGCCCTCTGGGTCGGCTGTCTCGTCTTGCAACACTGAGTGCTTGGCTAGCGTAGCGATGGGTTGGTGGCGGGGTGCACCCTTAAGACAGGCCTTGAAATCCTCCTCATTGAAGAAGCACACGAACCCTGTGCCGGCCGGGCGGTCCGTAGCACGGTCCATTACAACCCTGGCGTATCTCACAGGGCCAAATGTTGCAAAGTGCGCCTTGAGCGTCTCGTCGGTTGTCGAGTATGGTAGGTTGCGGATGAAGAGAGTTGTGTCGTTATTCGTCAGGGGCTTTTTGGGCTTTTCATCCTCCTCCTCGTCCTCCTCGTCGATATCTTCAAACTCGTCGTCATCCTCGCCAATCTCGTCATCGAGGTCCTCATCCTCTTCTCCCTCGCTCCCTTCCTCCTCGCCACTCCCCTTATCTTCGTTTTCATCCTCATCCTCCTCTTCGTCCTCTAGGTTATCGCCGTAGTTCTTGAAAAAATTCACGAGATCCCGGTCTTCCTGGGTCATATTCGGATCATCCTCTTCCTCCTCCTCCGCCTCCTTTTTCACCTTTTTCGACTTCTTCGCCTTGGAACTCTTGGCTTTGTCCTCGTCCTCCTGCGCATCGCCATTCTGCTGCTCCCAGGTCTGCTTGTCCACCGCCCAGTCCACTGCCAGTGTTCGTCCATCAACCTCCTTGCCATTGATAGCTTCAATTGCTTTCTCGGCGTTCTTCCGCCCCCGAAGCGTGACGAATCCGAAACCAGACAGTTTCCCCTTGTTGTTTGGAAGATCTGAGAACTTAACCTTGCCAAAGCTCTGGAACAATTTCGCTAGCTGGTCCGACGTCTTGATACTCCAGGGCAAGTTGCGAATAATGAGCTTGGGCGCCTTCCGCGCCTCTTCCAGATCCGCCTGGCGCTTCCGCTTTACTTCAGCCGCCTTGGTCAAGGCCTCAGAACCCGATTTAGTAGGATTGCGATGCCGTGACTGGGCAATGTCGAGCTTCAACCGGCGCCCGCTGAATAGCTCATTCTTGAGCTTGTCCTTCGCCTCGGCCGCATCGTCAGGATCGGCGAACGAGACGAAGCCGTAGCCTCGCGAGAACTTGGTCTTCGGGTCAACTACGACCGTGGCGTGCTTGACGGGGTAATGTTGCGAGAAGAACTCGGTCAGAGACTCGCTAGTGGCATTCGGTGGCAGCGACCGAACGAAAAGTTGCCTATTCGACTCGACCCGGGCTTTCTTGGACGGCGGATTGGGGGTCGGAGCAGCGGCTTCATCTGCCCCGGCCGGCACCTCCTCAGCCTCGCGCTGGCGCTTTTTGTCAGTCTTGCCCATGGTCGAAGTAGTCTCCCCGTTTGCAATGTTCGACGTGATGCGCAGGATTGGCCTGAGCTCCAGCGCAATTGTAGAAAAAAAATACAGGGGACCAGAGCGATAAGCTGTTATCGGGCAGAGAGGATGTGGGGCGGGAATTGTGCCAAAAATCGACCCCTCCTCCATCCCCCAAATCTGAAGCCACTAGCCGGATCGGGAAGCAAACCAGTAAACAAACAACACCCGAACCTCCATCCCAAACCAAGATCAAAGACGGCTTCGACCTCAAACTCGACCTCGACTCACCTCTCTCGACAGACGCAGATGCGGCCCGCCGCGCGAACCCACTAACTCAAGGCAAACCAACATACAGCCACCGCCATGCCGCGAGCGTCGACGAGGTCGACCCGGTCCTCGACAGGCGCCACCACCAAATTCTGCCGGGAACGCGCGCATCGACAGCATTCCCGCGCCTCCATTCAGCCGATAAACATCCGATGTCCCCGACGAGGGCTCCCGACAATGCGCTGCGCGGCTCAAGGTCGGCCAACGTATTCCGCGAGGGCCCAGCGGACAACAGCCCACCCACCGCAAACTCGCCGTGACGCTCCGCAAAATCCAAGAAGCCTGCTGCTACGAGCCGACCTCGGTCAAAAAATCCACCACCGCCGCCGCCGCCACGGCCTCCGACTTCGACGAGGACGACTTCAACACCGAGTTCGTGCGCTGCGTGCTGCGCGTGATGCCCATCAAGAAGAGCGAAGGGGTGGGCGAGAAGACGGTGCGCTTCATCGGCCTGTTCCTGCGCCACGCCATCGACAAGGACAACGAGGCCGTCGGCGGGCTCGACGAGGATGCTAGCACCATGCTCGAGACCCCCGGCACGCGCCTGACGACCCATCTTATGGAGATGGTCCTGCCGCTGCTGGCTGCCAAGGACAAGTTTGTGCGCTACCGCTCGACCCAGCTCATCTCGCACATCATCAACTCGTTAGAGGCCATCGATGACGATTTGTTTCAAAAGTTGCGCGCGGGGCTGCTGAAGAGGATTCGGGATAAGGAGGCCATGGTGCGCGTGCAGGCTGTTTTGGGGCTGGGTCAGCTGGCGGGGAATGAGGTGGAGGCGGAGCCGGATTCGGACGATAGCGACGACCACGGTGGGAGCGGGTTGCTGGAGAGGTTGTTGGAGGTGTTGCAGAATGATCCCAGCGCGGACGTGAGGAGGTCGCTATTGGTCAACCTACCTATTTTACCTTCAACACTCCCATTTCTGCTGGAGAGGGCGAGAGACCAAGACGCGGCTGACGCGCCGTTCTGTGTACTCGCGACTACTGCCAGCTCTGGGGGATTTCCGCCATCTTTCGCTTTCGATGAGAGAGAAGCTCTTGAGATGGGGCCTACGCGACAGAGACGAGAATGTGCGCAAGGCCGCCGGTCGTCTTTTCCGCGAGCGGTGGATCGAGGATTGCGCCGGCACACTGCCTCCGGCCGAAAGCGGGCAGCAAGCCGAAGTCTCGCCACCTAATCTCGACGCCCTACTCGAGCTTCTGGAGCGGATCGACGTGGTTAATTCTGGCGGCGAGAACGGGGTAGGCTTGGAGGCCATGAAGGGGTTCTGGGAGGGCCGCCCTGATTATAGGGAGGCTATGGTCTTCGATGACAACTTCTTCGAGACGCTGAGTGCCGAGTCCGTGTTTGTGGTCCGGACCTTCAATGACTTTTGCCGGAATGAGGGCGACGGCAGATATGAAGCGCTGATCGAAGACAAGCTGCCCGAGGTCACAAAGGTGGCCTTCTACCTGGAGCGGTATATCAAGGTGTTGATTGACGCCATACAGAGGGCGGAGGAGCAGGAGGTTGAGGACGAAGACGAGGAAGAGGACACGGCGGAGCAGGAGTTCATAGTAGAACAACTGCTCTACATTGCTCTCACCCTCGACTATTCCGACGAGGTTGGTCGCCGCAAGATGTTTTCCCTCCTTCGGCAGACCCTATCCATCCCGGAGCTGCCGGACGACGTGACAAAACTCACGGTTTCTGCGTTGCGGGATATCTGCGCTCCGGACGCGGCCGGCGAGAAGGAATTCTGCAGCATCGTTCTTGAAGCCGTCGCTGACGTCCACGATACCATTGTCGACGACGACTTGCCCGAGAACGACGACGAGAGCTTTCATTCAGCTAGGTCCGAGGTCAGTGGCGACACTACTCCCACTAAGAGCGGCAAGAGTAGGACTCCTGAGCTTTCCGAGGAAGAAGCCACCAAGAAGGCTATCAAGGAGATCATGATCAACATGAAGTGCCTGCATATTGTGCAGTGCATGCTCTCCAACGTGACCGGTGAACTGCAGCAAAACGATAATCTCGTGTCCATGCTCAACAACCTCGTCGTCCCCGCCGTCCGCAGCCACGAGGCACCCGTCCGCGAACGCGGCTTTGTCTGTCTAGGGCTGTGCTCCCTTCTCGACCGCTCCCTCGCCGAGGAGAACCTCACCCTCTTCATTCACTTCTTCAGCAAGGGCCACACGGAGCTGCAGATCACCGCCCTGCACATCCTCACTGACATCCTGAACGTACACGGCGCCCAACTTCTGTCTTCCAACCCGACCCTGCTCAAGGTTTACATCAAGGCCCTTCGTTCGGGCGCAAAGCACCCCGAGGTCCAGGCGGCGGCGACTGTTGCCGCGTCAAAGCTGCTACTGGGCCGCGTGGTCAACGACCACGACGTATCCGCCGAGCTGCTCAAGACTCTGGTGATCGCCTACTTCGAGCCCGCCTCCGCCGGCAACCAGAGCGTGCGCCAGGCGCTCAACTACTTCCTGCCCGTCTTCTGCTACTCGCGGCGCCGAGAACCAAGACCTAATGCGTTGCGTCGCGCTGGATGCCCTGCACACGCTCTACAACGTACGCGAGGCTTCGACGACGACGACCGCCGACATCGAGGACGAGATGGTCTCGCTGACCACCATCGGCGCGTGCCTGTCGATTGGACTGATCCGAAGAAAGTGCTTCTCCCCCGCGGAGCGGTGCCGGCTGGGCTGGACGAGGCGGAGAAGAAAGCATGTCAATGCGAGATGTGCATCTAGAAGTTTGCGAACGATATCATTGAGAGACTGGGTGAGCAATGTGCGGAGTAAGCTCCCCCTGAACAACCCACACTTTGCTCTTTCTTTCCGAAGTACTAACCCACTCTCACTCTAAAACAGAAGAAAGAAAAGAAGATCATCGCCGCCCTGCTCGGCAAGCTCTACGTTTCGCCCGCGTCATCCGAGATCAAGTCCCGCGAGATCTACGCCGTTATTTGCGATGCCGTGGACAACCAGCTGCTGTCCGACACTGCGAGCCGGAACGCCCTCTACAAAATCCACGTCAGCCTGGGCAAAATCGTCAACACCCTCGACGCCGCTGTCGAGGGGGCTGGTGCCGCGGGTGGAAGGTACCGCCGCAGCGTGAGCCGCGCCAGTTCGGTCGGGTTCGATGCTCCGGGTACTAGCACGCGGCCGACTCCCTCGGAGGAGAGGACGGTGCAGCATGAGGTACAGATTAAGGAGGAGGAGGAGGACTCTGATGCTGCGACCGTGATACACAGGTCGACGGAGCAGAGTCTGGTTGATGAGCTTTTGTCGGAGGAAGAGGAGTTGTGATGGTTCGCTGGGTGTAGGGCTTGGGTGGATGGGTGGGTGGATGGTTGGGTGGTCTGTTGCATTTCATTACGGAGGATATCCGGGTTTCTGTCAGGTTCCGTCTGGGTATGAGACAAGTCAATACATGAACACGATTCCACGCTCTGAATCTCTTTACTGCTTGCCACTCCAGCATGAACATGTATTATCTACCCCACACATCTGTCTCATCTCTATTAACTACCCCTTTACTTCCCCTCCCTAACCCCCAACCAATACACCACCCGGCCAACCACCACATTCACCATCAAATGCTGTCCCAGACTCCACGCCACACAATACAAATACTTGGGCGAAAACACCGTCCACACAAACAAATGCGTCCGCAGTGCCGAGCACGCCGCCATGACCGCCGCCGTGCTGCCCGCCACAAACACCGTCAACACCGCCACATGCGTCTTCCACAACCCCCGTCCCTTTTCCCTCCCATTCCCCTTCCCGCCACCACCACCACCACTCGCCATCCTCCTTATTATTAGTATCAGCACGCTGTCTAGGCGACCCCAATGCGCAAACCCCCAATAAGGTCAACTGTGTTCGCGCCCGCCCTCGAATTGGCTAGAATCGTGCGGCAGATACGACGGAGCACAACGCTACCGAGTGGAAGCGCGAGAAAGCAGTACCCGTCCTGGGCCCGACACAAACGTAGTGTGTAGCCAGTCGCGCAAGAGCGTAGACAGGGCGGGGGGGG